GCCCTCCTGACGAAGGAGCACAAGATGAGGGCGCTGAGGGAAGCGCTGGTCAAGCTCAAGCAGGTGAGACGGACGCGAGAGCAGTTGAACCTTAACACCTGTAGAGCTCGCACGGCTCCTGTCGGGGGCACGGCTGGTGCTACGGTAGCGGGGTCACCTCATCTTGTCTTGCACTTTCGAGGTACGGTCAGGAGGCACACTCTACCTTGGACGCGTTCGTAAATGTCGCTGTACGATCGACGAAACAGGACCACACGCTTTTCCCCAAAAAGTGTAACATTTATCACTTCCAAAAGTGGACCCTACTGCTGTAGCATCGGTTGGCCGAAGCTAGCGATTGGTTGTGCTTGTCGATCGGAAAGCGCGAGGGAGGGGCTTGGGTGGGGTATTCGGGAGGGGAAAGGAGTTGCGCATGAAAGGAGAGATGTTCTTTGATTATTTTTTGTTTTCTTGCTCGAAAAGGGGACGATGCGATTCTTTCCTCCAGCGGATGCTACGGGTTAACACATCTGTGAGCATACACGTGTTTTTCGCGCAGCTTTGTTCGCGACCTACCGTCTTTTTCCACACTTGCCGAGCTTCCGATTTGCACACCTTGGCCTCCCGGGCCGATGTTCGTTAGCGATCCGTCCGTTGCCGCAACAGGCCCAAGGGATGCATGTGTGTGTTTGGTGGTTGGTGGGCAGAGAAAGCAGTCGCCGTAGTGGTTTGTTGTGCGATTCCGTATGTACATGTTGCTGTTGCTTATTGTTGTTGTTGTTGTTCGTGGCGGTGCTGTTGTTGTTGTATGTGTTGTTGTTGTTGTTGTTGTTGTTGTTGTTGTTGTTGTTGTTGTTGTTGTCTCGGTCCCTCTCCTCCTACACCGCCAACCATGAAACGTTCTTCCTTGGTTCTGTTGTTATTGGTCCTCCCCCACCACCAACCATGAAACGTTCTTCCTTCTTCCTTGTTGTTGTTGTATCCGTATCCGCGTGTTTTGTTTTCTTTCAGGAGTTCGTGCAGTCGGAGATGGACAGAGAGGCCGCGGCCATCGCCAACGACAGAGAGCGAGCAAGGAAGGCGGAGGACCGCTCCGCCGGAGTGGACGACCGCCTGAAGAGCCTTAGGGAACAGGTTTCCACGCTGCAAGAGGGCGTGTCTCAGGTGTGTGTGTGGGGGGGTGTACTCAGAGCCGAGCACGCCGTAGTCGAGACGGAGTGCGGGGGGGGAATGGAGGAGTGCAGGCGGGGGCCCCATGGTGTTGGTGGTGGTAGTGGTAGCGGCGGTAGATTTGGTGCTGCGGTTTCTGTCTCTCATCCGGAGAGCAGCTTAGCCTCCCCCCCTCGCGACGCCCCCCTCGCGCGGCCCCAGATCATGGTCTTTTGAAGAGTACGCTGTTTTTGGCCTCACTAGACTGTCATCGGTTATAGCCCGGCTAGCGCGGTAGATGCTTACAATAGCGACACAACCGCACTGAGACTGACGTCTTTTCATGCGTCAGCCGGTGAGCGCGGTCGATGCCAACAACACATACACACACGCACACACCAAGAACGGGCGGATGGGCCCGCTTTGTTTTGCTCCGCTCTTGCAACGCACGTACGCAGGCTGCCCGCGACATCGAGCGGGAGCGCCGCGGGCGAGAGGCTGCGACAAGGGCCAAGGACAAGCTCCTCGAGGACAACGCGCAGCTGCGAGCGGAGGTGACCAAGGCCGAGGAGAGAGCGGCCTCTCTGGAGGACCGCCTGACTGAGACCCGGCGGTGGGTGCCTTCGGGGGGGGGGGGGGGGGGGGGGCACTCATACCCGTGCATGCCGTAGTCGTTAGGCAATTGACCTCGCATCCCTGCAAAGCCGGGACGGAGCTCACCGGACCAGGCTCGCACATAAAAAAAGCGCGAAGCGCCTTGAGGTATACGGCGAGCCGCATGGAGGGTGCGCTTGCATCCTGCTCAGTGTGGTCGGGCATCTTGGGGGGGGAGTATGCGGTGCGCGTGTGGGGTACGTACGAGGCGGATGATTGTTAGTGCCACTCTGCGTGATTGTGCAACAGCGGTGCGGTTGAAGAAAGGGCGCGGTTTTGAGACTCGCTGGATTACCCGCTCGTCGTTGTGGCGTGTGTACTGCTTGCTGTATGCGTAGCATCGGGCATCCACTCCGTACAGTGAGTCGGCGAGCTATCTGTGGAGCAGGTTCGTGCGGTGAGAAAATTCGACGTTTTTGTCTGTGATTTTCCTGAACATTCCACCCCTGACGCGTGACCCCCCCCCCCCCCCCCCTACTATCATCGCCTTTTCACGGAAAACAGAGACCTCGACGCAGCCAGAGAAAAAGAAGAGCGCCTCCGATCCCGCATCAAAACCCTCGACAGCAACAGCGGCGGCGGCGGCGGCGGCGGCGGCGGCGGCGGCGGCGCTGCCAGAAGCTCGAGCAAGAAGAGCAGGCGCTCCGACAGGAGGTCAATGGAAGAGAGCAAGGTCTCTTCTTCGTCGGATGGCGGTGGCGGTGATGATGACGACAACTTCTCCACCCCCGGCCGGGACGGAGGCAGCGATGAGGATGGTGGCGGTAGGGGTGGTGGCGGCGGCGGCGGCGGCAAGCGGCGGCGTCTGAACGAGCTTGAGAAACGGGTGCAGGTGGGGTTTAGTTGACGGTCTGCGAGAACTCAGACGAAAAATGAGCTCCATCTCCTCATTCTGGCCACTGCAACATCCACGTCGCTTGTCACTCGCTGTCGTTGTGTAGGTTGTTCGTTACCCAACTGCAGTCTTGTTGTTTGTTCTTCGTTTCATCTCTTTACCGCCGTCCGTCCATCCCAGTTTGTACCTCGCATCCCTGAACGGTTGTACCCAGTTCTGTTCGGTGCCTGCGAGTAGGTTAGGTGTCGGGTTGCAGAAGCGCGAGGTCTTCTTTTCTTCCGTGCGTTCCAATCAGCCTACCCCACCCCCCGATACTGTGCAACAGCAGTACCCGCGACAGTGACAAGCATGTAGAATACGGCAGCAACTGTCTTCCACAAATAAAAGCCGCGACCCCAGCGGCCTCCGCTTTCGGAATGCTTGGTTCGACCCAGGTGCTGACGGCCCAAAACGCGGCTCTGAGGACCATCGTGCCGCCACCGCACGTCCCGGCGTCAGCGACAGAAAAGAAGAAGGAGCAGACGACGCTGATTAAGGGTCAGGGTCGACGCCTAGGGTCAGGTATGTACTTGCAGCGCAGTTTCGGACGATCTTTAATCGTAGTTCACCGTCGATGTCTCGTGTGGTTGTTGTTTTTTATTGGGGGGGGGGGGGGGGGGGGGGTTTCCTTTTTTTTTTTCCTCCCCGGGGGGGGGATTAAAAAAAGCCGGGGAAAAACCCGGGTGGTTTTATTTTGGGGGGGGTTTTTTGGGGCCCGCCGCCCCCGCGGGGGGGGGGCCTTTAAATGGCCAAAAAGGGGGGGGCCCGGGAGGAGGCCTTTTTTTTTCCTCGGGCATTTCCCCCCCCCCTTTTTTTTAAAGGGATTGGGGGGGGGGGGGGCCTTGGGGGGAACCCAAAGGAGGGGGGGAACAAAGGGGGGGGAAAAAATTTTGGGAAGAAGGGGGTCCCAAAGGCCCCCCCCAAAAGACCCCGGAAAACCCCCCTTGGGAAAGGGGGGTGGGTTTCCCCAACCGGGGGGGGGGGGTTTTTTCCCCAAAAAACGGGGGAACCCCCCTTTTTTTTTTTTTTTTTGGG